CCCACCCTCCACGTCTACGGACGACATCCCTCCGCACAAGTCCCGGAAAGGCCGGGCAGGGGCGGGCTGCGGGCGCGCAGGAAGGGCTGCTCCTTCGCCGCGGCTCCCACCGGGGACTTTCACTCCGGGGGACCAGGAAGCAGGAACTCCGGGCTCTAGTCCCAGCCCGCGGCCAGTGCCCCCCGCGCTCTCGTGCCCTCCGGGCATGAGTCCTTCAGTCTCTCTTCTGGCCCTCGCCGATCTGCAGAGATGTCCCTGCAAAAAGTGCGCACTCTTTGGAGAAGGAGTAACTCCATGACTTTATTCAACAGGTATTATGTGTCCACCAGGTGCTGTGGAAACAGTGAAGGGTAAGACCTCAGCACCTACCCTCGAAGGAAGAACTTGTCATTTAGCTGGGAAGAACACTGCCATAATGTGGGAATCTGGGTGTTAAACCCACCAGCAGAATTTAGTATCTTGAGAGATGCTAGAACCTCACTGAGCTCCTGTTTGGAAGTCTTCAGAACACTTTGATTTAAAGTAAGGTGTTACCATATACCTCTGTCGTCCACCTTGTTGGGAGGGTGAAACCAAAGGACTTTTGAAAAGCTTTTTCGGAAAAATCAAATCCAACCTTTTTGGGTTCTTGTCACTTCGCTTTGAATTTCGATGGTTGTCCAGATCTTATCTCCCTCATCAAACAGAAACTTCCTTGAAGGTTGAGTAAATGTCTGATTTATCTCTCACCCAGCACCAACTTGGTGTCTGGGATAGGTAAGTACATGAAAAATATTGAAAAAAATGAAAAATGCTATCACAAAGGATATTGAAAAGAAAGCGCTATAAATGCCAAAGTTGTTTCTACAAGAGGTATTCCAAAGATGTTTTGAACAGTGACAGCATCACTGGAGGAAGTGCCCAGTCTCATACGGGAAGAGTGAAGGCAGCAGCTCTCATTAGCATATATAAATTCTGGTATGCTTGTTAAATAATGAGTCACAGGAGGACCTGGCCACACCTCATACACATGAAAAGATTGCAATACAGGACAGTGTATAGGCATTAGCCCTTTAATATAATAATCATCTGTTGAGTGTCTGTTGACTGAGCACCATGCTAAGTGCAGGGGTAGGTCCCTGCCCTGTCCTCAAGAAGTTCACATTCTAGGTGGGAAGATGAGAATTATAAAGTTCAATGGAAAACTAAAGTAAGGAACACAGAAATTCAAGTTACAGAGTGGACATTGATCTAGCTCCTGAAGGAAAAATGAGAATTTACCAAATTAAGACTGAAATACTGCCTGGCCTGTGCAGCACAGTGGTTCATTGTTGAACTATGAACTGGGAGGTCATGGTTCCATTCCCAGTCAGGGCACATACCCAGGTTTCCAGTTGGATCCCCAGTGGGGAGCATGCAGGAGGCAGCTGATCAATGATTCCCTCTCATCAATGGTGTTTCCATCCCTCTCTCCCTTCTCTCAGAAATGAATAAAAAGTAAAAAATAAATTTAAAAGAAAAGACTAAAATAACCACAAAGGTATAGTACAGAGGGGTGGTTAGGAGAAGTCTTGTAAACTGGTGTGGCTAGAGAATAGGAGCTGGGGAGAGGTTACAGTAAGTGGGTGCCATGTTGTGAAGATCATTGGATTCCATGCTGAAAAGGGGTATCAAAAGGTGTGACATAACCAGTACCAACATCAGAAAGACACCCCCCCCCCCCCCCCCCCCGCACACACACACACACACACACACACACACACACACACACTCACACACGCAACAGTGTGGGCTGCATCGGAGAATCAGGTGCCTTAAACTCAGGCAGTGGTCCTGAGGCTGATATGGGAAAGGGTGTAGGAAATAGTCCAGAGTTGAAATAAACAAGAACAGGTGACTAAGTGCGCTGTGAGGGTGAGAGAAGAAACAAAAAAATCACTAAATTTTGACAACTGAACTATTGGTGGTACCATTAACTGAGACAATTCAAATAGGAGAAACAGGGTGAGGTAGTAGGTGGGTCCAGCCAGGTTCAGAGGATTGAGGGGAAGGCAGGACAGAGCCTAGGGTGGAGACCGAACAACCTTTGAGTGTCACTTCAGCACAGACTACTGAGAGGAAATTTGGAGATCAGACAATTATTCCCAAATTTTAACTGTCAAGACTAACTGGTCCTAGCTGCAATTGTATGACCTGAGACTTCAGCCTCCTGGTCCATGCCCTTACAGGCTTCTAGAGAGCTCTGTGCTTTCAGAAATGGCATGTTCCCAAGTTGTTGAGGTCCCTCTGGCTAAAGGAAAGTTCTTAGATGTAGAAATTGTGAAGGGTGAAAGACCGATTTTATACTGATTTTTATGTCCTGCCCGTACTAGGGGTAGTTACATTTAATAGACAGGACTTTCATTCCTTGACCCTCAGGAGTGAATCTGTTGGTGGAAATATTTCATCTCTCTGGATCCAGCTAATAGAAATGCATATGGCTGCCCTCATATGACAACATATAGTCCACAACTCCCCTCACTTCCTAGTGATCCAGACCACCTAGTCCTCACTCAGGCTTGCTGAGGAGTGGTGCAGAAAGGTGGGTGTGGTCAGAGCCCCTCTTGATGTAGGGAGGGTATCTGTGTTGTCTCTACTCCAAATGAAAATCAAAAATCATACTAATTATTCTTATGTTGTTTGATATAATTTGCATTGCTTTAATAAATTTTGCTTTTCCAACCTCTGTGGTCATAATTACACAAAATATCCATATGATACTGTGTTAATCAAATTCGGTCACATCTATACCCTGGCCGGTGTGACTTTGTTGAGCATCACCCCATGAACCAAGATGTTCCAAGTTTGATTCCCTGCACATGCCCAGGTTGTGGGCTTGTGCAGGAGGCAGCCAGTCAATGTTTCTTTCTCGCTCTCTCTCAAAATATCACTAAAAACATTTTTAAAAATTACCATATTGCCCTGACCAGTTTGGCTCAGTGGATGGAGCGTCGGCCTGTGGACTGAGGGGTCCCAGGTTCGATTCTGGTCGGGGGCGTGTGCCTTGGTTGCGGGCACATCCCCAGTGTGGGGTGTGCAGGAGGTGGCTGATCGAGTTTCTCTCACATCGATATTTCTGACTCTGTCCCTCTCCCTTCCTCTCTGTAAAAAATCAATAAAAAATATATTTAAAAAAATTCAACCATATCTATGTGATGAAATAATTCTTTACAGCTATTAACTTTTTTTTTTAAATAAACCAACTGTGGAGATGTTGAGCAGGTAGTTAGATAACACTTGCAGAGCTAAAGAAAGAATTTCAGACTGTGGGAGATATCAAATGTAAAATGGGAGTTATTCAGTATGAAGAGTGAGGAAGAAGATTAAAATAAATAACATGGGTCCCTGGAATACTGTATATACTCAAAACATGTTGGTAAAATTTCTTAATGTGCAAATTATCCGTGCATAGGGGACTAGTTAAAAACACTATGGTGCGCCTAGCTGGGTGTAGCTCAGCAATAGAGCGTCGACCTGGGAACCAAGAGGTCACCAGTTCGATTCCCGGTCAGGGCATATGCCCAGGTTGTGGGCTCAATCCCCAGTACAGGGCATGCAGGAGGCAGCCAATCAATGATTCTCTCTCATCATTGATGTTTCTATCTCTCTCCCTGAAATCAATAAAAATATATTTAAAAAAAAAAACAACCCAAAACACTATGGTGCGCCCTAGCCACGTAGCTCAGTTGGTTAGAGTATCATCCTGATATGACAAGGTTACAAGGTTTGATCCCAGGTCGAGGCACATGTAAGAATCAACCAATGAGCCCTGGCCTGTGTGGCTCAGTTGGAGCATCATCCATGCACCGAAAGGCTGCCAGTTCAATTCTTGATCAGGGCACATACCCAGGTTGCGGGTTGGATCCCTGGTCAGGGTTCGTTCGGGAGGCAACCAATTGATGTTTCTCACATCAACGTTTCTCTCTTTGTCCTTCCTCTCTGTCTAGAATCAATAGAAACATATCCTTGGTGAGGATTTTTTTTTTTTGAAAGTAGCAATACTACATTAAAGTAGCAATCTTATTTTTTTTAAAGAATCAACTAATGAATACATAAATAAGTAGAACAACGAAATTGATGTTTCTCTTTTCCTCTCTCTCTAAAATCAATAAATAAAAACAAAAGAACCACTATGGAACTTACCACAATGAAATACTGTGGAGGATAAGCAAGTATGAGGAAGGGCTGCATTTATTGACATGGGAATTATCTCCAGGATATATCAACTGAAAAAGCAAGCTACTGAACAGAGTATATAATATGCTACCTTTTGTGCACAAAGGGTGGGAAATTACAAATACGTTTTTATTTTTGCATAAAGAAACTGGAAAGATACACTAGAAAGAAACTAAAAGTGGTTATAAGAGTAGGACAGGGCAAGGAAAACAAGAAGGGACAGATAGGGAACAAGGCTTTAATTATATAGTCTTTAAACTTTGTTTGCTTTGTTGTTGTTTTAAATATATTTTCATTGATTTCAGAGAGGAAGGGAGAGGGAGAGAGATAGAAACATCAATGATGAGACAAAATCATTGACTGGCCACCTCCTGCACGCCCCCCGCACCCCCACTGGGATTGAGCCCACAACAAGAGCATGGGCCATTGACTGGAATCGAACCTGGGACCCTTCAGTCTGCAGGCCGACGCTCTATCCACTGAGCCAAACCTCTAAGGCACTGCTTTGTTGTTTTTTAAAAAATATGTTTTTATTGATTTTGAGAGAGAGAGGGAGAGATAGAAACATCGAGGAGAAACAGCATCAATCGGCTGCCTCTTGCACACCCCCTACTGGGAATCGAGCCAGGAATCTGGGTGTGTGTCCTGATTGGAATTCAAACTGGCAACCTCCCAGTGCAGGAGATGATGCTCCACAAATTGAGCCACATCGGCCAGGCAAGTAATTTTTTTTTTAAATCCACACCAGAGGATATGCTTTTCATTGACTCTAGAGAGAGAGGAAAGAAGAGGTAGAGGGAGAGAGAAGTATCGATTAGTTGCCTCCCAAATGAACCCAAATCGGGGATGGACCCCACAACCTGGGTATGTGCCCTGACCAGGATTTGAACCAGGAATCAAACCTACGACCCTCAGTGGATGGGATGATGCTCTAACCAACTGAGCCACGCCAGCCAGGGCTAGTCTTTAAACTTTTTTTGAATTTATTACTATTTAAAATTTATATCTATATACCTGCTACATAAGACTGACTGAAAGCAAAATCATGACTTTTTTAAAGTAATATTTTTATCTTACATTGGTTAGTTTGTCCTGAGCATGCCTTAGTACCCTAGAAATTGCATTTAGACTCCACTTTAAAAAATCTTGATCTAATTCCTAGCTCTCGCCTGCCTGTCACCCTCCTTTACTCTCAGACCATTCTCCTTCCTAACTTTCCTGAGCCAAGACTACAGAGGAGAGAGAACTACTGAATTATTACACTCGGGAGTCATTGAAAATCATGAGAAACAGAACCTGAGTAGGTGGTGCTTAACTACATGTTAAAACACTAAGGCTTAATAATCACTATGTTAAACCAAAACGTGTAGTAAAAGGTGGTAATCTGACTGATGGGGAGCACTCCCACTGTCACTCCCCCCAGCTGCACCCTCTGTGTAGTCCACTCTATTTCATTGCACTCCAATGCCTGGGCCACAGCCAGGTCCAAAGGCAACATGCAAAGGGGCTTGGGCCTGATGGACCAAAAGACTAGGCAGAGCCAGAACAAGTCAGAGACACCCATTTCATATTTTTAAAACTTCCATTAACATCAAGGGCTATTTTGGCCTGGGCTGTCCCTTCAATTAGAAACAGAGAGATGGTTACAAAGTAAGGAATGTAGGGTAGGATCAGAACTGAGACTAGAACATGGATATTTAATTACCTAAGAAAAAAAATGTTTTTCATTCTTCTCACAATAGTCCCTGGAAAACCATCTAAAACTGTTTCTATGCCCTAACCGGTTTGGCTCAGTGGATAGAGCGTCGGCCTGCGGACTGAAAGGTCTCAGGTTCGATTCCGGTCAAGGGCACGTACCTTGGTTGCGGGCACATCCCCAGTAGGGGGTGTGCAGGAGGCAGCTGATCGATGTTTCTCTCTCATCGATGTTTCTAGCTCTCTAGCTCTCTCCCTTCCTCTCTGTAAAAAATGAAGAAAAAAATATATATATATTTTAATTGTTTTTATGAGCATTTACAAACTATTTTATGTAACTGGATGGCTAAAAAAATCAACTGAGATGCACTGTTTTATTTTAAAAGAACATGAATAAACATGATAATATTTGCCACCACCCTATACCAAATGCTTACTATGTGCCAGATCCCAGGCATTTTACCTGGACTACCTCAACTGGTTTCTATACTTCAGAAATATTAATCTCTCCGTCCTTCAGAAAAGAGTCATGCCATAGCACAACTCTAGTAGGAACATTATAAGGTCCAATCGTTGAAGTCATCCTGAACCCTTCCTTGCTGACTCCCTCGTTGGGTTGCAGAATCTGTACTATTCAATACATTTGTAATGTGCATCCTTGGTCAGTAGGTGGCGCCAAGAAACCATCTGTGGCATAATTAGGGCTTGCCTAAAGTTCTGACAGCATCAATGGCAAATCCTGCATTTACTGTCATCCTTTTTTGTGGAGAGGAATTATGTGTTGGTCTATAAAGAAGACTAAGACTTTTAAAGAATATACAATGACTATGATAACGAGGAAACCCAAGTGGCGAGAGGAGACAAAACAATCCAACATATAATTGGTCAAGAAACGTGTTATGAGGGGTGGACGGAATCTGGTCAGTCTTTGGTAAGCCCTTAGCTGGGATCCACATGAGGAAATTTAAAAGAAGACTATAGACTGGAAAGAAGTAGACATCAGACATATGGCATGAGTACGCAGGTAGGAGCCATTCTACCCAGAGGGGAGCTGAGGCTGGGGAGAAGGGCAGCTTGCAGCATCCCAGGATTTCCTCCAAGGAGCAAGATGTCTCCAGTGATTAGGGAAAGGCAGCTTTAAGGTCCTGCACTTCCTCAGCGTAAGATTATACTTCTCCCACGCTGTGCACGCCCACCATTCCAGAATCTCCCCTCCGGTTCCTTAGCTCAAGCACCCATGATCTTTTCCTAAGGTCTGTACATTCTGCCCCGAGCACTATCTTCAGCCATGAACAACTTGTAGCTGTCCAGAAGGTAACCAGAGATCAAGTCAAAACACATTTATGAAAATTGCAGACCATTGCCAGGATGAGTGGGGAGAACCATGGCATTCAAAAATTGAAGATCATGTAATTCAAACTCTCTCAATTAACAGATGAGGAAAGAGGCATATAACAAATCACTGGCAGAAAAAGGGCAAGAACCCAGGGATTTTGCCTCAGTTGACCTATCACTCCATTTCTGCACCTGTAATGCTATCTAAAGCAGTGGTCGCCAACCGGTGGTCCGTGAGGCCCCAAAGGTTGGCGACCACTAACATAAAGGAAGCGAATTGATGCTAGTTTCTTTTTTTTTTTTTACTGATTTCAGAGAGGAGAGATAGAAACATCAGTGATGAAGAATCATCGATTGGCTGCCTCCTGCATGCACCACACTGGGGATCAAGCCAACAACCCAGGCATGTGCCCTAACCAGAAATTGAACCATGAACTCCTGTTCTAAGTCACTGCTAACCTGTGATCCACACCAGATGGGAAATACTAGCTGCTTTTATGATTCACTAAACTTCTGATCAAAAAGAACCTTCTGCAGGCCTGTTTTAGATTTTTAAATAACATTTGCTGATAGCATTCATGTCAATAATCATTGATATTATTCCTGGTCACTGAAAAGTATATAAAACTGGCCCAGCTGGTGTGGTTCAGTGGTTGAGTATCGATCCATGATCCAAGAGGTCCTCAGTTCGATTACCAGTCAGGGCACATGCCCGAGTTGCAGGCTCAATCCTCAGCGGGGAGTGTGCAGGAGGCAGCCAATGGATGTTTCTCTCTCATTGATGTTTCTATCTCTCTCTCTCCCTCTCCCCTCCCCCCCTTTAAAATATATTTTTATTGATTTCAGAGAGGAAGGGAGAGGGAGATAGAGACATCAATGATGAGTTATTGATCAGCTGCCTCCTGCACACCCCACACTGGGGATTGAGCCCACAACCCAGGCATGTGCCCTCACTGGGAATTGAACCATGACTTTCTGCTTCATAGGTTGATGTTCATCCACTGAGCCATGCTGGCGGGGCCCTTCCTCTCTCTTTAAAGTCTCTAAAAACATACATATTTTTTAAAGTATATAAAACTGGCCCGACTCTATGAGAGCTTATAGTGATGCTTCCTTGAAGATTAGTCCACTATTGCCAAGTGATGAAATGTATTATTACAGAACATGACAGAAGGAACTATGTAATGGATGGGACTTTGAAAAGAAGAAGGGGGACACCTCATTTTTATATAAATTATTTTTTATTTCTATAGCATACAAAAGGTATAAATATGACTTATGTAAAACCAATCACCTACACATTCAAGCAGCAAGTACATGAAGCTGGGGTGTAAATCTCTTAGCCAGAGTGAGCAGGAAGAAGCAGGGTTAGATCTGGTCAGGCCATGAGACTCCCTTCTCCAGATGTTGTCAATTACTGCATCCAGGGATAACTGAACAGCTTTGTTTTCAAGGAGGGCAGCTCATTTGACAGTACATGAGGAAGGTGGTGCCAGAGGTCTGAAGGGCTTTGGGCACTTCTATGAAGGAGGCACTTGATGGGAAGCAGGCATGCCTGAGATAGAAACCAATCTTGTCAAAACACAGCAAGGACTTCCCAGCGGGGGGCAAGGGCCTTTTCATCTCCCAGACCTCCTGCTTCCACACTGCTATTTGATGTGGAGCACGGGGCAACAGGAGGCAAAGGCAAAAAGCAAGTCCACAGAAGGGAACCCAAATGGCGCAACAGCCCGATTCCCTGCCCCCGGCTGGCAAACAGCTAAATGCACAAAGGCTTGGGAGCTGAGCAATACTGAATGCAGAACTCACAAAGTTACTGGATTCTCAAGATTCAGATACACTCTGAGACCAGAGAGCTGGTAGAGTCATGTTTTGTTGGGAGGTGCTAATAACCTGAACAACTTAGCAAAACTCATGATCTGTGAGGAAGAGTGACGAGAGCTTGATCTGTACCAGTGAACCAGGCTTTAGGGAGCTGATATTTATGTCAAGAAGGCCCAAAGTTCTACCCAACAAGGTCCACAGGGCTCACAGTCAGCTGGCTAGTCCTCAACAACCCTCACCTGCCACCTCCCTTGATAATGACAATGGAAGTTTTGATACATAATGATCTCTTCTTACATGGTCTAAAGCAGCGGTTCTCAACCTGTGGGTCACGGCCCCTTTGGCGGTCGAACGACCCTTTCACAGGGGTCGCCTAAGACCATCCTGCATATCAGATATTTACATTACTATTCATAACAGTAGCAACATTACAGTTATGAAGTAGCAACAAAAATAATCTTATGGTTGGGTCACAACATGAGGAACTGTATTTAAAGGGCCAGAAGGTTGAGAACCACTGGAAAGGTAAGTGTGTCCTTCTATACTAATGTCTCCATAGTAATATAGCTGTGGGAGGCACTCCTGGGTTGAAAGTGAAGGCAACTGTCAAATTACTCTCAATCTTAGACTAAATCACCTCTTAGATTTTTGTTTTCAGTGTAAACTAAACTTAAGACAACTATATAAAATCCTCACATCACTGATCACCAATTTGGCCATAGCCACTCTGACTGACATTGGTGCCAGCCAATCTGCTGTGAGGGAAGAAAGGGAAGAGGGGTACTGCAACATCAGTACCTCCAAGCATAATGGGACTATAAGGTTAACTCGTAAGAAACAAATACCACACTCCCTGTGATGAAGATATTATAATTCTAGGCTAATTTCCTACTGTGCATTAGTTCTTCTCAGGGTAGGTAAAGTGGCTGGCGTTGCCTTGTCCTGTGGGTGGGTTAGGTAGGATAGCAGAATTAAGCCACCTGTGTGGACAGAATTATCACGGACTTTGGGTTTCCCAGTTCTGATGGTAAATGATATCCTAGGAACCATTGTCACCAAAACAAGATAATGCTTTGTAACAGTGAATGCAGCCGAGTGACTCTGGATCCAATCTGCTATTGCTTCCTGGAGATACCCATTTCCCACTCATATAATCTCATGATTACAAGCCATTTTGGAAATGCCCAAGTCCAGCGAGTACAGAGATATACCTGAAGCAGAGGTTGGAAAACTATAGCCCACAGGCCAAACCTAGCTGCTGCCTGTTTCACTGGAACACGGCCACACTCGCTCATGTAGGAACAGACTGGGGCGCTTTTGCAACGACAGCACTGAGTAATTAACTATAAGAGAGACGATCTGGCCGTTTACAGAAAACGTTTGCAGACCTAGAGACTAAAGTGAATTTAGGGAACTGTCCCTTCTCTGAAAAGGTCTTCAAAAGAGAGACCCAAGCATCTAATTAGAACCTGATTCTAGTTGCAAGTTCCCAAGCACAGGAAATCCAACTTTTGAGGCACAGCATCTGTTAGAGGCAATAACCTCAGGAGTCAAAATGTGTTCTGGACAAGAACCTTCCTGTACTTTGAATAATGCCTCACCTATGTTACTGGTAAACTGCACCCCTTGACCAGATCTGTGAAAGGCAGAGAAGTGTGTGTGTGTACATATGTATACGAGTATATGCACACACATAAATGTATAGACACATATACATACATACATTCGGGGATAATTCCAAGAGGGACAGACTGTCTCTTTTTATGCCCTGGGCCGAGAGCCAGGGAGGCAACTATCTGCTCCCAAAAGCTCTGTAGTGAGGAAGTCCAGCTGTGTACGTGTTTCTGTCTCATTCACATGCCAGCTTACTGTCAAAGCTAGAAAGCCCAATGGCAAAGGCCTGGAGTGCACACAGCGGGTAGTTGTAGTCCAGAGTGAAAACATCATCTGCCACACGTCCAAACTGCATGACAATATAGTCAGCTAGAAACAGAGAGAAAATATGATGTTAGAAGATAATGTGGTTATACTGGGGAAAGCCTGTTAAGATATAAAAACAAATGCTCCAAATAGGTCAATCAGCAGGTCTCTTTAAAATGGGCAACTTTTAGCCCTACCGAGTTTGGCTCAGTGGGTAGAGCACCGGCCTGTGGACTGAAGGGTCCCAGATTCGATTCCGGTCAAGGGCACATGCCTGGGTTGCGGGCTTGGTCCCCAGGAGGGGGCATGCAGGAGGCAGCCAATCAATGATTCTCTCTCATCATTGATGTTTCTCTCTCTCCCTTCTTCTCCCTTCCTCTCTGAAATCAATAAATATAAATATACTAGAGGCCTGTTGCACAAAAAGATTCATGCAATAGGCCTTCCCTTCCCCTGGCGCCGGCACTGGTTTTCGACCAGCACCCAGGCCTTCGCTCCAGCTGGAGCCGCCTTCAAAGCCCTCACTGCTTTGGCTGGAGCCGCCTTCAGTCTTCGCTCCGCCAATCCGCGCCGTATGCAAATTAACCGCCATCTTTGTTGGTGGTTAATTTGCATATCGCGCTGATTAGCTGATGGGAGGCATAGCGAAAGTACGGTCAATTACCCTGTTTGTCTATTATTAGATAGGATATTTAAAAAAAATAAAATGGGCAACTTTTAGAAGAATGGAAAGATTTATTAAAAAGAATATCTGCTAACCATGAGCAAAGTTTCTATTATGATTCCCCTCAACTACAGGGAACGGGAGGCTACTCTTGACCAGCATGAAAGGGAAAAAAAGAAAAGTCGAGAGTAGCTTGCTGGGGACAGTACAAGCTCCATGAGCTAGAGTTGCCAAGGTACCTTTACTGGGTGAGGATCATTTGCATTTGCTTCCCAAACAGCCTCCTCTAAAACTTCTCTCGTTGGCCACAGGAAGAAATCTCTCACACTCTTCAGCCCTCCTCAACACAGTAGTTCAAAAGTTTTACTGTAACACTGTTGTTTTGTCTTTCCAAAGAAATCATTTCTTTCTTAGATAATTCTCTCCTGAATATAGGTTCCTATCAGTGACAGGAAATGTTCATTTCCCCACCATGTAAGAATAGCCTCCCTCCCATTCCCAACCAGTCCTTCCTGTGGCTTACGGTCATTTTCATGGACTATCTGAAAGTTCTTCACAGATGCCTGAGTAACCCGGCCATGGAAGTTCAGGACATAGGACTGTGTGTCATCATTCCACACTGGGGCCTTGTTGTGCAGCTCAATCAAGTTCTCCATGGTTTTGTTTTGCCATTTTGAAAGCAAGCTCTCATGGTCCTATTTGAAAGGGAAAACATTACTCTAAACTGAGAACCATAAGAAACCATTCACTTGCAACTCTGACAGAGAAGGTGGGCAGGGGAATATTTCCTCCATTCCAGGAAGAGTAAGTGGTTGCAAATCAAGCACTCTAACAATTGCTCTGCAATGTACTTCTCCTGAGGTTCTGTGTGATGGCTCTCCTAAAGCAGAGTATGAGGGCCCTGGCTGGTGTGGCTCAGTTGGAACATTATCCCTGACACCAGAAGGTCACCAGTTCGATTCCTGGTCAGGGTGCATGCTCAGGTTATGGGTTCAGACCCCAGTTGGGGTACCTATGGGAGTACCAATCGATATTTCTCTCTGACATCAATGTTTATCTCCCTTTTCCTTCCTCTCTCTCTAAAAAGTAATCCATTAAAATGTACAAATAAATTAACTAAATAAGAGTATTAGCAATATTCCAGTTCTGGAAAAATCAGTAATTTTTGGACTGATCTCTTCTATATTGTATTCTTGTCTTTGAGAGTCCTTTGCTGATTAAATATATTCTTACACTTCGTGGCCGAAATGGGATCCGTTCATGGTTCATATTCATCCCTGGAATGATCACAGACATCTTCCTAGGACCTTTAAATCCAAACACATTTGTTTCCTGGAATATAGGAAAATAAGACAGAACTTGGAAACAGAAAAGAAAACAAGACCACATTCTTCACACAAGACTCATTTGGGCATGTAAAATGCTGACAATGTCAAGAGTACTAAACCTGCTTATTACTGTAGTTTAAACAAAGAGAGACAGATAATCAAGACCAGGAAAGTAATGATATTTCTCTTTTTTAAACCTAATTTGAACATTTGAATGTAAAATAGATTATTTTGGCTTGAAAATTTACTCTTTAATCTTAAATGAACTTTGAGACAACTGTGAGCAAACTGTCCAATTTTGTCATCAATAAATATTTTTGTCCCAATGAGGGAATAGCGCTATCTGATCTAAAGTGAGAATTACAGTGTAAATTAAGTGGGGCCTGTATTAGGAGGTAAAAACTCAAATGCCTGTCAAGCCAGACAGATTATATATAAATAAAATAAGCACATTAAATAGGTGGATATATGTCTGTGTGTGTATTCATATACATATGCACATGTACACACACGAGTCATGCACAGTCATGCATGTTGAGACTTTGGGATCAAGCAACAACTCTGAAAGGAAGCACCGGTGCCATGCAGATGTACACAAAGGAATGTCAGCCACATCCAGTGGTCAGAAAAGACTTCTCTGATGACATCAGCTGATATGGTAAAGGCAAGGAAGGGAAAAGGGAAAGCTCTCAGGAGAGGGAAGATCATATGGTGGATAAAACAGGAAAGTTGTGTGGCCAGAATGATGGCAACAGGAGGGAGAGTCTGAAAGAAAAGGCTAAAGTGTTAGGCCTTTATTCTGTACACCCTGAGAAGTCATACAAGATTTGAAGCAGGAGAACAGCAGGATCAACTGGAGTTCTGTTTTAGGAAGATTTATCTGGCAACAGTACAGAATGAACGAGATAGAAAAGACTAAAAGCAAAGAGAATAATTTGTAATTTATTGTAGCCTCTGGCAATGGATTAAGAGGTCATGAAGGTCTGTGGTAATCCAATGGCATTAGGAAAAGAGAAGGCAAGACATATTAACACAGTAAAAGCATAAATGAACTTGGCAATTCATAAATAATTAAAATTTGGAAAGAGAAAATGATTCCAGTAACAGAAAAGGGGATCACAGAAATAGAAACAAGCTTGGGAGGGAGGATTATGAGTTCAGTGTAGGTTAAGTGATTCCGAGGACAGCACTTACATAACAGATGGCTGCCAGCTCCTGCCGCGCATGGGCCTTTTCGTGGGCCTTGGCTGGGCTGACACCATGGTCATAAACTGTAAACTTGGTCCCCATGAGGTTGGATCTAGAATCAAAAGAAATAATCATCATAATGATCTATATTTTTTCTCTTCCACAAACACAATCTAGGAGAGGTGTTTAACAGAATATCTGCCTATTCTCCAAATATCTAAATGTTCCTCATCACTTTTCAAAGATCTCTCATCAAAACAACGAAAGGACTTAGATTTTCTTTTAACTTATTTTTCTTTAGATTACAACATTAATACATGTTCATTGTAAAAAAAATATAGGTTGTTCTGAAACTAGTGTTAACCTAAAAATAAAAGGCAGAAGCGAGAGGCAACAAGCATTTATTTGAGATTTAAAAAAAAAAAAAGAATAGCTATTCGGAAAGCACTGACTCAGGCAGAAGCCCAAATGGTGCTGCCATTAGGAGACAAAGGCAAGAGGTATATACGAGAAAGGGAAGGGAACAATTACATCACTTTGGGGGAGGCACTGCTATTGGTACAGATAAGCTAGCAGAGTGACACTAATTCTAAACAATGTTTTTAATTTTTAGTCAAGTAGCCATCAGTCCAGTCGTCTTACTATCTGTTTTCTTGTTATCTTGGCACAATATCGTTTTAGGCCCAGTCCAAAGGTTACTCTGCCCTGTTTTAACATTTCAAAGGTTTCAGGCATAAGACATGCTAGTCAATTCCTCTGGGGTGGCAGCTCTGACTCCATTTTTAAAGTGGCTCTATTTGTATTATTTTTTTACAATAAGAATCAAAGTACCAGAAAGAATAGGACAGTGATACAAGGATGCTTTCACCTGAGTTTGCCAATATAACTTTCCCCTTCTCGAGATAAATCTGTTGGATCAGTGGAGATAAGGTAGTTGGATGTTTTGCTCTTTTTCCGTTTTCTACCAGCAAGAAGAAATATCTGGAAAAAGGGAAAAAAGGTCAGTTAAAAAGGAAGTCAAGAGAATTGCTATGGTTTGTTCTACCTTCTCACTTTGCAGCCTCTGCCCAGGGTGCAGCCTCCTTGATGCCGTCCAGCAGCAGCAGCTGCTTGGGCCCTGGGCTGAGCCAATGCCAAGGCCCCTGGCGGTGGGGACGAGGCCGCCAGCACAGAGCAACATTGGCCAGCCACTCTACAAGGGACAGTGTGGGACCTGCCGATCTTGTTCCCTCAGTTGCCTGGCCACACAAGGACTACGGAGAACCTGGTCAGCATGATGGCCCCACAGATGGCAGTAGCTATTTCCCTGTGGCATGTAGCACCCCGACCAACATGTCCGTTGTCATTTCCAATGGCGACAAATGCCTTGAACCTGGTCTGTTGGCCAGCACGAGACTGCTTTTACATGGACATCATCTTCAAACTCATCCTTAAAGAATGCCCCCAGGAAAAAAAATCAACCATCTCAGATTTCTGATGGGCAGGCAGAAGAGAGAGATCTCCTCCAGGGATTTAACTGTGTCTTTGACCGGCGACTGAGCTTAGTGAGGGGCATCACCCCTTGTCCTTAGCCTTGCCTCACAAACTCCGTGGCCTCAATCCCCACCATTGACAGAAGTCAGTTGGGCCTCCCACCACAACCCACGGGTCTCATCCTACTTCAGCACCAGTGTCATCACCACTTGGCGTTTTGTCAGAGAAGACCAATCTGTGGGTCTTGAGCCCTTTTCCCTCATAAGGCTTCTCAGATATGTAACTTTCCTAAATTCACTAGCTTCGTTCTCAATAAAACTTTATCCCTAAAAATCTCTAGTGACTTTTTTAAAAGCTTCATCTAATTCCATGAATAAGAGTCTTTCCAACTTTATGGGAGACAGGATCCTGAATACCTACCCTTCCCATTCTTTACTGCCATAGCAGTCCTAATACTCCTTTTTGTATTTTGTTGGGGGTTTTCTTTGTATTTTTAAAAAATTTGTTGACTTTAGCCCAGCCGATGTGGCTCTATGGTTGAGCATCAACCTGTGAACCAGGAGGTCATAGTTTGATTCCTGGTAGGGGCATATAGCCTGAGTTTGGGCTCGAGACCTCCTGTGGGGCATGCAGGAGGCAGCCGATCAATGATTCTCATCATTGATGTTTCTATCTCCCTCTCCTCCCTTCCTCTCTGAAATAAAAAAATATTTTTAAAAAATTTTCAGGTGAATACTCTCATATTTATGCTTCCTTGCTAAAACCCTACTGGACTTAGACAATAACAGGGAAGCAGAAGAGTTGGAGTAGTTAATGGGAGACTTTGGAATCAAACATATGGATTTGAATCTGGCTCTTAAACCCCAGTTCCTTTGTCCATAAAGCAGGGATATACATCCTATCTTACCAGGCTGTCATAAGAATTGTAGATGATAATAAATATGAAGCATTTAGGATATGCCTGATACATCATAAACATTCAATAAATAGTGGTAATAATAACCATGATATTTACTATCACCATCTAATTTCTAGGACCCTAAAATCATCCACTTAGACCTGGTATTAATACAAAATACATTGTTCATTAGCAAGTATAAACTGTCTCAAACATAGGTACAAAGTAAGTTAGAATTTCTAGGGTGAGAAACAATATTTTTCACTTGTATATTCTTCTATATTTCCAATTCCTTCTATTCCCTAAAACTTGCTCTTTTGCCCTGGTCGGTGTTGCTCTATGGTTATAGCAGGGGTGGGCAAACTTTTTGACTCGAGGGCCACAATGGGTTCTTAAACTGGACCGGAGGGCCGGAACAAAAGCATGGATGGAGTGTTTGTGTGAACTAATATAAATTCAAAGTAAACATCATTACATAAAAGGGTTCGATCTTTTTTTTTTTTTAGTTTTATTCATTTCAAACGGGCCGGATCCGGCCCGCGGGCCGTAGTTTGCCCACAGCTGGGTTAGAGCGTTGTCCTGTGCACCAAAGGGTCATGGGTTTGATTCCTGGTCAGGGCACAGGTTTCAGGCTAAATCCCTAGTAGGGGGCGTGCATCAGGCAGCTGATCAATGATTCTCTCTCATCATTGATGTTTCGATCTCCCTCTCCCTTCCTCTCTCTGAAATCAATAAAAAACAAAAAGAATCAACCAATGAATGCATAAGTAAGTAGAATAACAAATTGATGTTTCTCTCTCTCTCTAAAGTAATAATTTTAAAAAAAAGAATCAAGCCCAGCCGGTGTGGCACAGCAGTTGAGTGCAGACCTATAAACCCTGAGGTCATGGTTCAATTCCCGGTCAGCGCACATGCCTGGGTTGCAGGCTTGATTCCCAGTAGAGGGCATGGAGGGGGCAGCTGATCCATGATTCTCTCTCATCATTGATGTTTCTAGCTCTTTATCCCTCTCCCTTCCTCTCTGAAATCAATGATAATATATATATATTTTTAAAAAGAATCAACTCTCATACCTTCCGATTTTCATCCTTTTCCAAGTGCATATAGTAAGTGGGGAAGAGACCCCGATCCATTCCTTTTTTATCCCTGGTTATCCGACACTTTACTGTGACACCTCGAGGAGCAGAACTATAAGCAAAGTCCTCTAAATCTTTTACTTCTCCCAGCTGGTTATCAGTTTGTTGGGCTGAAGTACCAGAAGCTCCTGTATCCTGAAAGAATAGCCATACATAAGCAATGGAGGTAGAGTCAGAAAAACCTCATAATCTCTTTGAGAAGTACTTAATGATAAAATAGCTTATTGGTTTATACCCCTATGTCTTCAGTCTTCTGACAAAATAATAGAAAACTCTGAGAAGTTAAGTATGTATTTGAATACTGGGAGTGATGAAAGAGCTAAGTATGAAAATGGGATATAGTGTCACAATAGCTAACTTGAGATATGAAATTAGAGGTCATGAACTTTACATCTAAATTAGAGCTTAAATCTTTTGAAGCAACCCTCACTCCGTAATGGTATTTAAATACTGAATGTACACTTTATTTGGGAAATAGTTAAATTAGCTCCAAAGGAAGAAGTTTCAGATCTACATACTGTGGTTGATTTCTGGCTGGATGCAGAACTGGGTCTCTCTGCCTCTGAACGTGGTGAATGAGATAATTTTTTCCCCTCTTCTTCCTCCCCATCAGTCTCCTCATCAAAGTTCAAACTACCTGAGATACCTAGCAGAAAAAGAAGAACTGTCAACAAAAGTCATTTTAAAAAATCAGAGTTTTATTTGGGGATGATGAAAAAGTTCTGGAACCCTTGTGCATTGCTGGTAGCAAGTAAAATTGTGTGGAAAACATTATGGTGGTTCCTAAAAAAAATTTAAATATAGAGTTACCATATGACCCAGCAATTCCACTTCTGAGTATATACACAAAAGAACTGAAAGCAGAGACTCAGATACTTGTGCACCAATGTTCATAGCAGCATTATTCACTATATTCAAAAGGTGGAAACAACCCAAATTCCCATCAACTGATGAAAGATAAATTGTGGTACATACATACAATAGGCTATTAGCCATAAAAAGGAATGAAATTCTGATGCATGCCATAACCTGGATGAATCATGAAGACATTCTGCTTAGTGAAATAAGCCAGACACAAAAGGACAAATACTGCTATGATTGCACTTACATGAAGCACCTAGAATAGTCAAATTCATAGAGACAGAAAGTAGAATGGTGGTTAGCAGGAGCTGAGGAGAGAGGAGAATGGGGAGTTATTATTTAATAGATACAGTTTTTTATTTTGGGATATTGAAAAAGTTCTGGAGATGGGTAGTAATGATAATTGCACAACAATGTGAATGTACTCAATGCCACAGAACTACCACAAAATGGTTAAAACATGTATTTTACCACAATTAAAAAATTCAAAGATCCATTGTTCTCTCTATCAGTCACTTTCCCCCCTACATTTTGTTCATTTCTAGTCTAATTAATTCAAGTTGGGAATGTCTGAAATACTATTACTTTGAATTCATGAAGCACCTCTTACAGAAAATTTAAAACTATTTTATTAAAAACTATGTTTTATTAATCAATGTCACCCCCAACAAATTTAATTTAAAAAAAACTATGCTTTTATTTTATCCTCATATTTATAAGAGTTTGAGGAGGAGCCGGGACCGGTTTGGCTCAGTGGATAGAGCATCGGCCTGCAGACTGAAGGGTCCTGGGTTCGATTCCGGTCAAGGGCATGTTGCTCCAAACAACCAAGCCAATCAGACAGCTGGATGTTTCTTATATTGACAATTACAAAGGGACAATGGCAGAAAAAAAAAGTTTTATTTTTTGTTTTGTTTTTTATTTATTTATGGAACATACCAGAAGAGGAACACAAACATAAAGTGTGATGTATGTTACATAAGAAGTAGGGTACTCACATCTATAATAATAAAAGCGTCCTATGCTAACTAGACTGAATGTCCTTCTGGATGACCTTCCAGACGACCTTCTGGACGAAGCTGGGGCTTTGAGGGAAGCCTGGATCCCGGGTGCCAGAGGAAGCCGGTGCCAGCAGCCGGGGGAAGGAAGGCCTATTCTTGCACAAATTTCGTGCATCAGGCCTCTAGTTTACATATAAAAGTATGAGGCTCAGGGAGAATCATTTGCTCAAGAAAAAGAGGCAAAGCTAAGACCTAAATTTCCTTTTTTGCTTAGTCTATAGCAGGGTTCTCAACCTTCCTAATGCTGCAACCCTTTAATACAGTTCCTCATGTTATGGTGACCCCTAACCATAAAATTATTTTTGTTGCTACTTCATAACTGTAGTTTTGCTACTGTTATGAATTGTAATGTAAATATCTGATATGCAGGATGTATTTTCATTGTTACAAATTGGACATAATTAAAGCATAGTGATTAGTCACAAAAACAATATGTAATTATATATGTGTTTTCTGATGGTCTTAGGCGACCCCTGTGAGAGGGTCATTCGACCCCCAAAAGGGTCGTGACCCACAGGTTGGCGACCCACAGGTTGAGAACCACTGGTCTATAGGGTGAAGTTATCTATCATATAATAGTTGAAATAGCCCTCAAATCATTAATTTATAAGTAGATTTCACAACAAGCAGTGTGGTTTTTTTCCTCCAAATCATTTCCTACCCACATTCAGAGTGGGGACAAATATGACCTACTTTTACACAGTTAACAAATAAACTGGTGTTAGCTTTTCTCAAGGACATGCAAAGATAAGACAAAGACCAATTGGAAGATTCATCTCAAGTGAAAACACATTTTCACACAAATACTTACACATGAATGTTCATGGCAACATTATTTATAATAGTCAAAAGTGGGAAACCACCCAACTATCCATAAACTGATGAAGCGGTAACAAAATATGGCATATCCATACAATGTAATGTTATTCAACAATAAAGTGGAATGAAGTACTGATACCTGCTACAACACAATGAACACTGAAAACACTCTGCTAAGTGAAAGAAGCCAGTCATAGAGGACCATAGCGGGTATGATTCTATTTATATGAAATGTCAGGAATAAGCAAATCCAGAGATAGAGGAAAGTACATTGGTAGTTGCCTGGGGTTGAGGGGGTTAGTGAGAAATGGGAAGTGATTGGTAATAGGTATCAGGTTTGTTTTGGAGGTCATGAAAATGTCCTAAAATTGTGATGACGGTTGCAAACCTCTGTGAATATACTAAAAACCAATGAATTGTTCACTTTAAATGAGTAAATTGTATAGTATGTGAATTATATCTCAATAAAGTTATTATAAAAAATTCTTTGGTTTGTCAAGAACATCTTTTCTTTTGTTTTCTAAAATTTTGTTTTGTTTTCTACCTTTTTTCATAGAAAAAGGATATAAAAATCTTGGGATCTCACTATCCTATGGATAGCTTCACTTAGTACCATGTTTTGAAATGCCATTTTTATACCAAGAACTCAGTTTATATGACTACTAGAGGCCCGGTGCATGAAATTCGTGCACTGGTAGGTTCCCTAGGCCTGGCCTGCGATCAGAGACCATCAGGATCCCCGCCTCCCCGTCTCCTCCTTCCCTCACTCCCTCAGCACCCGCTGCCACCGCTGGTCACCTGCCATGTTCCACGCCGCCCCCTGGTGGTCAGTGCACATCACAGCAAGCACAGAAATTCCCATTCTCCCGGTCGAACTCCCAAGGGGACAACTCCTCCTCCCCCCCCCCTCAGCCCCCGCTGCCACCGCTGGTCACCTGCCATGTTCCACGCCGCCCCCTGGTGGTCAGTGCACATCACAGCAAGCACAGAAATTCCCATTCTCCCGGTCGAACTCCCAAGGGGACACTTTGTATATCAGCCCGGCCTGTGCCCTCTCGCAGTCTCTGGGACCCCGCGAGATAACGACCTGCTGGCTTAGGCCTGCTCCCAGGTGGCAGAGGGCAGGCCCAATCCCTAGGTGCAGCCCCTGGTCGGGCTCAGAGCAGGGCTGATTGGGGAGTTGGGGCGCCGCCCCCC